TGTGTGAGTGGGACGTACAAGAAGCCGTCGTAAAGATCGGTGGGCGATATTACTTCCCTCCTGAAAATCGGTGTTCTGGGTTTGTCGGTGCTGGGTTTATCATTATCGATACGCATTTTCCGCCATAACGAGTTGATCGCCATCCCGTGGATGGCAGTGGCGCCCCATTGGCCTAAAACTTTGTGTAGTGATTGCCAACGCTTCGATCACTACCAATCAAAGGGCTTCCACTACCGAGTACGGAATGAGGACGAGCATAAGGAAAGCGTCACGCGATTAAGGCCGTCTACGTTAGATTCGGAATTGTGCAACGTGCGACATCGGGAGTTAGTCCGAAAACGGGATTCTAAGTACGTGCCCACTTCCTTCCACTCCAAACGAAGAGTTGTGGCTTGGTGGGAGGTTCGACAGTATTTTCTGGATTGAATTCGAACTTCCCTGCGTCACGAATCCTACGCGCGCGCACTTCTTCGTAACCCGCGTTGCAACCGACCGGTTCTTCTACTTCATCAGACCAACACGGGGGATTTCAGTTTTGTCTGTGTTCCCACACTCAATTCCCAAAAATCCTTGGCACACCCCATCTTGCTGTCTGTCCAGGGCCCCATTCCGCGAACAAAAACACTCAGAACGAAAGACAGTACAGGGCGTAAGGTTACGCGTCACACGGCCTCAAAGGCCGCGTGGACCAAATGAAAGGTCAATGGCACACCCATCCCTTTTGTTGTGGTAATGCGCAATGTGTGCCTGGTACACCGCGGAGGGCCGGGACACTGTGCCCTCTGACAGCGCGCCGGATACGACAAGACGGTTAAAAATCCCAGGGTCCAGGAATGGAGATTTCCTTCACTGCATGGTGGGATTTGTGGGAGCCGGGACCATTCTCGGTCTCATATTAGCGTAATGGGGCAGCCGGGGTGGCAGTCCCGTCGCCATACCTCGCCCAGGGAGCGCGGCACGCTCGTGCAGTGGGTTTGGCCAAGGTGCGTGCACATGCACACCGGACACGACAACACAGCTGAAAATACCACTGTCGAGGAATGGAGATTTCCTTCGCTGCAAGGGGGGGTGGGTGGGAGCGGGGACTGTTCCCGCTCTGATTCCAGCATAACGGAACAGCCGGGGTGGTGGTCCTCTCGCCGTGGAGGAGGAAAAGCTGACAATGCACGTGGAGATGGCGGTGGGATGGAAGGCACAATGCACTGCTAGGTAATCCAAAGTCTGCGAATGAAGAATAACTCAAAGGACAGACTGCAGCTGGGGTATACGCCCAGCAGACGGACTGGACTAGACTGGACTGGTATTGAGACACAGTACCAGAATGAATGAACAAATGGCCTGTGGGGTCAGGCCAACGGCCTGGTCCCACAGGCCAAACAGACAAATAGCCAAGGACCCTTGGACGTAGGTCAGGGTAAATTATAGAGGGAATAATTGGTGGAAAGCACGCACGCCAAGACCTTTTCGGTGTTGGGCCTCCATAGTTCGGCAGTTTGCAACTACCCGCCCAAACAACGTCGGCCTAGGTGAAAGGCGCCTTGGCGCTGTGGCCACAGATTCGTTGGTCTGTTTATAAGGGACAATGAATCTGGCCCTGTTTATGTGCCAGATTCATGAACGGGTCGCTAAGGGCCACTCTTTTTCAAGATACCGTGTTTCTATCCATGAAGGGTACAGTAACTACCCTTGTCCTCTTTTACATTGGAATGAATCAGGCGCTGTTTGGTGACCTTCAGGAAGTGCCGCACCGGGTTGGTGAACGAGGGTCGGTCACCAGTCACGAAAATTGTGACTGGTGGGTAGTCCCAGGACTCAAGGAGTTCACGGAGAATGGGATCAGGTTTTTTTTTTTTTTTTCCATAGGAGGATGGGGGTCATCCGAGGGTTACCCCCCATAATTTTTTCGATTTTTTTTTCACGAATAAATAATATATTTGTTAATTAAAAACCAAAAAAAAAAGCAACCAGCCAAAATAAGCATTTTTGTTTGTTGTTTTGTAGGTCGTTTTTATTTTTTTATGTCTTTTAAATGTCATAACGCTGTGGGGCTTAAGGCGACTATAGCTTGGCACAGAGAGAGAGAGACAGAGACACACCCAGACACACACACACACACACACACACACACACACACACACACACACACACACACACACACACACACAGAGAGAGAGAGAGAGAGAGAGAGAGA